TAGGGGAATCCTGGTTAGTTTCTTTTCCTCCGCTTATTGATATGCTTAAGTTCAGCGGGTAGTCTCGCCTGATCTGAGGTCTTGGTTGGTCGAACGGATCTCCGGAGAGAAACGTTCCCTTTCCAGTCGTCCCACTGAGAGGGCATCGGACACCTGCGAAACTCGGCTGCTCGGTGAGATATTACTACCACACCGAGAAGCACGGGCCACGAAGGGCTTCCGCACGACTCGGGATCGCTCTACTTCAAGGGACCGTTCGCTTTGCAGCAAAGGGACACCTCATGGCCCCACCTCCGGGGAGGTAGGATGTGAGAAACGACGCTCAGACAGACGTGCTCCTGGGAATGCCCAAGAGCGCCATTTGCGTTCAAAGATTCGATGATTCACTAAATTCTGCAATTCACATTACTTATCGCAGTTTGCTGCGTTCTTCATCGATACACGAGCCAAGAGATCCACCGTTTAAAGTTGTTCGCTTTTAAGTAACTCTCGTTCGGACGGATCCGACCGAGGAATCGATACGTTAAGTCATTGAGGTTTGAAACGTGGGTAAAAAACTAATTCGGGGCTCGCCTAGCAGACCGAAGTCCACCGTACCCACTGACGATTTAACGATCGGGGGGAGTTTGACCTCTCCCCGACCGACCCCGAAGAACAGCATCAATTGAAACCGCTAAGGCAAGTAAGATTGGATTCGTTAATGATCCTTCCGCAGGTTCACCTACGGAAACCTTGTTACGACTTTTACTTCCTCTAAATGATCAAGTTTGAGCAAGTTCTCGGCGGCACCGTGCCTCGCGGCATGGCGTCGCCAATCTCGAGATCTCACTAAACCATTCAATCGGTAGTAGCGACGGGCGGTGTGTACAAAGGGCAGGGACGTAATCAGCACGAGTTGATGACTCGTGCTTACTAGGAATTCCTCGTTCAAGACCAATAATTGCAATGGTCTATCCCCAGCACGATGAAGTTTCACAAGATTACCCGCACCTTCCGGTGAAGGCGATATACTCGCTGGCTTCATCAGTGTAACGCGCGTGTGGCCCAGAACATCTAAGGGCATCACAGACCTGTTATTGCCTCAAACTTCCATCGGTTTGAAACCGATAGTCCCTCTAAGAAGTGAGCCACGGTTCAAAGAACCGTGTCACTATTTAGCAGGTTAAGGTCTCGTTCGTTAACGGAATTAACCAGACAAATCACTCCACCAACTAAGAACGGCCATGCACCACCACCCATAGAATCAAGAAAGAGCTCTCAATCTGTCAATCCTTCCTATGTCTGGACCTGGTGAGTTTTCCCGTGTTGAGTCAAATTAAACCGCAGGTTCCACTCCTGGTGGTGCCCTTCCGTCAATTCCTTTAAGTTTCATTCTTGCGAACATACTCCCCCCGGAACCCGAAGTCTTTGATTTCTCATAGCGTGCCGAAGGAGCCTTACATGAGCGACCTCCGATCCGCAGACGGCATCGTTTATGGTTGGAACTAGGACGGTATCTGATCGTCTTCGAGCCTCCAACTTTCGTTCTTGATTAATGAAAACATCCTTGGCAAATGCTTTCGCAGAAGTTCGTCTTTCATAAATCCAAGAATTTCACCTCTGACAATGAAATACGAATGCCCCCAACTGTCCCTATTAATCATTACTTCGGTCTCGGAAACCAACAAAATAAGACCAAAGTCCTATTCTATTATTCCATGCTGAGATATTCAAGCGACTGCCTGCTTTGAACACTCTAATTTTTTCAAAGTAAACGTCGCGAATCCCGCGCCCACCCAGTTAAGGGCACACGCGGTCTTCGCGAAGAAGAACAGACCGATCAGTACACGATCCAGAGGACGGACCAATCGGCCGGTTCCGAAATCCAACTACGAGCTTTTTAACTGCAACAACTTTAATATACGCTATTGGAGCTGGAATTACCGCGGCTGCTGGCACCAGACTTGCCCTCCAATTGTTCCTCGTTAAGGGTGTTATATTGTACTCATTCCGACTGCAGAAGCCGTTGGCGCCTGCAACGTTATTTATTGTCACTACCTCCCCGAATCGGGATTGGGTAATTTGCGCGCCTGCTGCCTTCCTTGGATGTGGTAGCCGTTTCTCGGGCTCCCTCTCCGGAATCGAACCCTAATTCTCCGTTACCCGTTGTCACCATGGTAAGCCAATACCTTACCATCGAAAGTTGATAGGGCAGAAACTCGAATGAAACATCGCCGGCACGAGGGCCATGCGATTCGAACAGTTATTATGAATCACCGAAAAGCGTCGTTAAACGCATTGGTTTTTAATCTAATAAATACATCCCTTCCAGAAGTCGGGACTTTTCGCATGTATTAGCTCTAGAATTACTACGGTTATCCATGTAGTAAGGGCACAATCAAATAGACGATAACTGATTTAATGAGCCATTCGCAGTTTCACAGTATAAAAGTTTATACTTAGACATGCATGGCTTAATCTTTGAGACAAGCATATGACTACTGGCAGGATCAACCAGGTAGCTTTCATCGCGGTCTCGACATCGGGATTGCTCCCTCTGCCGAGACCGGCCACACGAGCAGTGCACGAAGCGACTGCCGGCAGCTTTTGCTAGGTAAGCGTTTCGTAACGAAACTACTTGTTTGCCTACACCTTCGAATCTCCTCGAACGGCAATCGCAAATCCTTTCCGGAAGGGTTTCGGCCGTGAGCTGCGGGGGGCAAAAAACGCCCTTGGGTGCGGTTGACTGCCCAAAAACGACGATCTCTCAAAGGGGAAATCGCGTTCTAAACCCCCAGACGACTCACGATTCTTTTTAAGCTTTTGGCTTCCCTTTTCGTAAAACCGATTCTCCTTTCTGCGGGGCCGAACGGCCTTTGCATCACGAATCCAGCCACGAGTAGCGGACTTCAGAACCCTGGCAAAAGTTTTAGTCCGGGGTTTTCTTTGACTTTACGGTCGATTTTTTCCCTTTTTCCCCCTCATATAGGCCAAACCCCCGGCTTGCCGTTGTCAAAGTAAATATTGCTTTTTTTCAAAACGTCAAAAACTTTCCAATTTTGCAAAAATTTTTTTAAAATTTTTTTGATCAAATGTTATTAAACCCTTTTGTTGGTGAAAATTTTAAAAGAAAAAAAATTTAATTTTGGGGCCCAAAAAATTTGGGAAATTGTAGGGGACGTCCCCGGCATTTTTTTCCCGATACTAAATCGTTTCCCAAGGGTCAGGGCCCCCGGCTTTTTTTTCGGGTATCGTATTAAAAGTTTTTGCCCCCTTTCGTACGCCAAAACCTTGCGGGAACTCAGAAAGGGAGCTTCCCCTCCCTTTGACTTGATAGCGGAATTTGTCCCTTAAGGAGGCAAATTACTCCCCCGCCCCCGGCAGTTCATTGTTGAAGTCCCGGGCCGGGAAGAGGGGAAATGGTTTTCTTTTCTCTTTAAATGGGACTGTCGCCATCTAACTGGTCCCTCACAACATCCCAAAGAAATAAAGTTTTTAAAAAATGGTTTCAAAACGACCTCCGCTTTCCGAGCCCCCATATCGCACTTCCTTTCCCAAGGTAAGGCCCCGGCATGTTTGGGGTATGTATTATAGGAGAAAAAGCTGTCTGTTTTCCCCCTTTTAAAACCCCGGGCCGGAAAAGTAATACGGCAGTTACATTGAGGGAACACCCTTTACTTCATGACTAAGGGCTGAGAATTTGAACTATAAATCCACTCTTTTACCCCGCCCGTTTACCCCCGCCTTTTGGGGGGTCCTTCACTTTGAATGCAAGGGTTTTGGAAAGCGAGGGGTTCGTGTTGTATGTGGGCCCTTTAAAATTTTGAAACGAGAATTCGTTTTTTACATTTTTGGAGGCCCCCCCACCCGCCGAGACAAAAAAGGCACCGCCCCAAAAAAAAAACGTTCCCGGCCTTGCCCCAAAAACGTCGAGTGCCACCAAAAAACCCCGTCGCAAAAATCCAAGCCACCAAAGTTTCCCGGGTCCTCGATTTTGAATGTCGATTGCTGAACGAGAGCCGGTCCTGCATTTTGGGACAAGAGCACGGCCAGGGGGGTATTGACCCGGGGTCCTTTTAAGTGACGCGAATATTTTCTTTTGCCCCGGTTCTTTGTGTTTGGGAAAAAAAAATTTAAAGCCAGAAAAATTTTCCGGTCCTCAAGCTTGCTACCAAAACCAGCAAAGGCCCCGGGGTTTCTTTTGGACCAACTTTTTTCATGTCTCGCTCCCTGACCCGACTTTCCGGTCCGAACAAAGGCCCCGGGGACATTTTCCGTTAAAAAAAAAAAGGACAATCAGGAGAACTGGGCTTTCTAAAGGGATCGTGAACGGGGCACTCTACCCTTACAATACCCCTTCCAATTTAAAGTAGTTGCAAAAGGATTTACAAAAGAAATATTTTTAATTTTCGATTATTTCCCCCTCGAGCTTTTTCCCCTTTCCGTTGCCCCCCCGAGTGCATGGACCCGAACGCCTTTTTTGTTCGCCTAACATCTCTCTGGGTATTTTGGCCCGTTCTACCGGATTCGGCTAGAGGCGTTCACCCCAAACCCCTACAGATGGTAGCTTCCCCCCCCCATTCCCTTTTTCAGCAAGTGCAAATGCAAATTTTTTCCCCAACTTTTTGAGAGTTGGAATTTATTGGGAAACTTTTCTCATTGGGTAAAAAACCCCCTGTCCCGCGGTCAAAAACCCACCCTTTCCCCTATTGGCGGGGAAAAAACCGCCCTTGGGGGAATTCTGCCCCCAAGATAGGAAGCGACATCGAAGATCAAAAAGCGAGTCGCTATAACCTTGCCGCCACAACCAGTTATCCCGGGTCCTTTTCTGACACAGTACTAAACCTCCCCGGGCTAACTGACGTGGGCCAGTTTTCCGTTTTGTTTCAACTGAAAATCAAATCAAGTGACTTTACCCTTTTGTTTAAGAGTTTTCCCCGTTCTCTTTGGCTCCCCTTAGGACACTGCTTATCGTTTGAACAGATGTCCCCGCCCCACCAAACCCCCACCTGACGTGTCTCCGTGGCACCGCTCCGAAAGGTGGGGTTTAAAATCTAGAAGGTCTTGCACCCGCTTCCGTTCACCGAATAAAAAAAAAACGTAAAAATAGTGGTATTTAATTCGCTTACGCTCCCCATTTAGCTCACCCTTTTTCATGTCTTTTCACAAAGTCAACTAGAGAACTAAAAGGGGTTTCTTTCCCCGCGGGATTATGCCCAAGCCTTTCCCTTGGTGGGTTTTTCGCTAGATAGAATAGGACGGGGGGAACTCGTTAATCCTTCATGGGGGCCACAAATTTGATGACGGGGGCATTTGGCTACCTAAAGGTCATAGTTACTCCCGCCGTTTACCCGCGCTTGGTTGAATTTCTTCACTTTGACATTCAGAGCACTGGGCAGAAATCACATTGCGTCAACACCGTTTCCGGCCATCGCAATGCTTTGTTTTAATTAAACAGTCGGATTCCCCTTGTCCGTACCAGTTCTAAGTTGGTTGTTAGTCGTCTGCCGAAATGTCCGAAGACGAAGCTGCAGCCTTCCTCCTCGATGCCGAAGACGGCCCATCCGGAGCTCGGCGAACCTTACTCCAGACAGTCCGCCTAAGGCTTCGAAGTCTCGGGCTGCAGCCCGACAGACCCAACCCTTAGAGCCAATCCTTTTCCCGAAGTTACGGATCTATTTTGCCGACTTCCCTTACCTACATTGTTCTATCGACCAGAGGCTGTTAACCCCTTTAGACCTGCGCTTTGGGTCGACCGGGCAGAAGTTTTTCTCCCCGGGATTTTAAAGGGCCACCCGGAAGGGAAAACACCCAAAAAGCCGGTGTTTTTACCAGACACTGCCCAATCGGGGAAAATCCCTTTCCATGGTGACTTCTTTAAACAAAAAAGAACTTGCTTCCGCTCCCGCTGAGTCCCCCGTTCGTTTGGTTGCGCTTTTTAACCGAAGGGCAGAACCCCCCCCGTTCCGGGTTTTGGGGGAAATATTAACCCCCGTTTTCCCTTTCGTAGGGGGCCCGGCTTACGTGGTCGGTATGGGGCATTTTAACACATTTTCCCATTTCCTTAATCGACTAACCCCTTTTTCAACTGTGTTTCTAGGGAACCCTTCTCCACGTCGGCCTTCAAATTTTCTCTTTTGAATTTTTGCTACTACCACCAATCTGCCAGGGGGCCGTTTGCCCCGGGCTCACCCCAAAGGGGGTTTCTTCAGCCCCCACGCCCCCCCCACTCGTTGACTTCGCATTTGCTCGAACGGCCCTATAGCACGCGTTTGGCCCCATTTTTCGGGGCGGGTTATTGGGAGGGGATTTTTTTACACACTCCTTGCGGATTGACTTCCAGGCCACCGTCCTGCTGTCATATAAACCCAAACACCTTTTGGGGGTTTTTGATGAGCGTCAAATTTGGCCCTTAACCAAACGTTGGGTTATGAGATTTGCAAAAAAGGGCCATGGAATATTTGTGGCCCCGGTTAAATTAAAATCGGAGTTACCCATTTAATGGGGAAAGGTGGGGTTTTTTCCCAAAGGGGCTTAAATATTCGAACCTAAAAAACGGGGCAGAGTCCATCCGAGGGAAATTCGGGGGAAACTCAAGGGTTTCATATTTTCCCCCTTTCCCCCTTTGCAGATTGCCGTAAACCGTAAGCCTCCCGGGGGCCCCGGTTTCGCCCTACTCGGGCATTTCACCACTTTGGGGCCCCTGGGTACCTCTGCTCGACAAGTCACTTTAAAATCTTGCGGCCGAAGCCCCGCCCGAACCCGGGATCTCACCATTGGGCCCCGCCCACTTCTCTTTGTGCCCCCAAATTTGCCATCTGGTTCCGACACGGACTCTTGGTCCGTTTTCAAAGGGGTTTCGGTAAAGCATTTGCACCCCAAATTCCTCAGTTTAGGGACACCCACAGAACCTCCGTCGTCCCCCCTCACTGGTGCATCAAGGGGCGCGACCGCCCCCCCGGGCCCAACCGGGAGCACGACCGGGGACCAACCGGGGCGACGATCCGGGGCGAAGGGCATAAAAACCCCCCAAAGGGGGGCCCTTCCCCCTGACGCCCGTAAACCAAGTTCACCACCCGGATAGTGCCCCGGCAATCGCGACCCCCCGTACTGGGAAACCGAAGATTAAAAAAGGGGCCCCAACCAGGGCTAATAAAAACCATCCTGCGGCTCCTTCGTTTCCCCTTTTTTAAAGGGGTTTCCTACTTTTTAACCCCCTTTTTTCAAAGGCTTTTCTCTTTCCTAGGGTATTGTTCGCTATGGGTCCGGTCATATTTGCTTTTGGGGTTTTCCCCTTTTACGAAATCCCAAAACCCGCCCTTTCGAAAACCCGTCCCCGGGGGACGTCCGGTAAAACGGGATTCTCCCCTCTTTTTTGCTTTGACTTAACCCGGTTGGGGGAAAGTTTTGGAATACAATTGCCCCAAGCACCCAAATTTTTAAAATTTGAGCTTTTCCCCCTGTTTTCGCCTTCTGGGGGAACCTGGTTGTTTTTTTTTCCCGTTTTGTATGTTTAAATTC